AAAAAAATATTTCTAAACTAAACTAAAATAAATCATATAGTTAATAGAGTATTTATTAAATTTAACCTTTAAAAGACCTTTTTGGATTATCATAATAAATAAATGAATTTTTTTAACATATGCCCTAAAGCACCTTTTCGCTGTAAATACATATTAAAAAAAAGTAAAAATTAACATTAATATAAATATATGTGCTAAGTGAATAAATTTAATTAAAAAATTAAAAAATTAAAAGTCAATTTTTTTAATAAAAATTAATAACAAAAAATATATTCATTATCTTCTTAACTTGTCACATAAAAGTATACATTAGAAAACCTTAAGTAAATAAATAGTTTTTTTAACTTGCATAATTATTACACTTTTTTACTATAATTAATAAGTATTAAAAAAATTTATTTTTATTTAATGAGTTTTAAAAATATGTGTTCTAAATACATAAGTTAATATGCATTTATCATACTTTTTACCATTAATTTCTATAAAAAATTATAAAAGTAAAATTTATTTTCACCATTAATGCCATGTAAAATAATTTAATTAAATAATTGATAAAATTAAAATAAGCTTTTATTTTATCCATAAAAATTAATAATAAAAAATAAAATAAATGTACCCATTTAATTAAGGTTATTTAACTTGTACTCATTTCACATGATATTGTCGTTGAAAATAAAATTTATTTTTATAATTTTTTTTTATAAATTATTAGAAAAATGTACAATAAATATATCATAAAAGTATAAATTAAAAAATTTTATTTAATTTACTACTCAGTTAATAATTCACCTAATATTAATATTAAAATTAATATTTAATTTTTTTTAACATTAAGGGTGTGACTTAAATCTCACACCTTTGACTAATATAAAAAAGTATTTATAAAGGATTAGTAGTTATTAGGTCATAAGGCCATTTTCATTGATTTTTATATGTTTTAATATATATATATATATATATATATATTTGAACATGTTTACAAGGGTAGAGATCGAACCCAAACCCAAGGAAAATGAGAAAGTGCATATTTTTTTAATATAGTTAATGTTACTAAGTTCGAGGGGCCAAATGCCATATAAAAATCAATGATAATAGCCTTATGGCTTAATAATTACTAATTCCTTATAAAAACTTTTTTATATTAGTTGAATGTGTGAGATTTAAATCCCACCCAAAATAATGAAACAGTTTCAATATTAATTAAGGTTAAAAATATATATTATATAACTTTAAGAGACATTAAAAAACCCTGAGTAAATAATGTAATAATCACGTGAATATTGTTTTTTTTTTTTTTTTTTTTTTTTGGAACATGGGCGATTAGGAGAAGGGATGGGGTTTGAACTTTGAAACCCCACCGCAGAAGGTGAAATCCCTTTAACAGTATTTAGGCGATCATGGGCCACTTGGGCTTCTCAATCACGTGAATATTGTTGTGTCGTAAATGTTGTGACTTGTGATAAGTTGTTGTGTACTAATAATTCAATTGTCACTGTTAATAAGAATAAAGACATCCAGTTCTGTAAGTACTGGCTCTGCTTGTTTTTACTTTTAGTGTTTAAAAGGTTAAATTTCAAATTTAGTCCCTTAACTATCATACAGACTTTGAGTTGGTTTCTAAACTTAAAAAATTCCTATTTTAGTTTTTAAATTTTGAAGTTTTGGCCCTTTTTTTATTAAAAACTTACGATTATGGCATGTTACATGAAGAGAAAAGAATGACACGTGCAAAATTTTTTACATGTAAGACTGACAGTATAGCTAAAAGAATGAGATGGCAAGAAAAAGAAAAACTTTAAAAATTCTCCTTTTTTTTTCTTCTCTCTTTTTCCTTTTTTTTTTTCTCTCTTTTTCCTTTTTTTTTTTTTCTTTCATTCCCCTTTTGCAAACCTTAACACCTTTTGACATCAAATTCAAGTATAACATAAACATAAACTCAAATATAGCTCATTAGCTTCTCTAACTTTGCAGTTTCATCTAAAAACAATCATATAAACAAATAACTATCTATGTATGCCATCTACAATTCATGGGGGAAAAAAATTAAACCAATCAAAAATAAAAAAATCCTCATAAATGAATCAAGCAAATTTTGAATCTAAGTTCTAATGTTTTTGCAGAGAGCAAAGATGTTGGAAAATCTTTGGACCAAAATGGATAAAGACACATATTTAATCCTAATCTTAATAGTACAATAAAAAAAACCCCCCCTAAATTAGTCCAATTGCCCTAATCCCCATTTCATTTAATTTCAAGGAAGTTCAAATCCCCATTTCATTTAATTTTAACATAGGGACTAAAAATGAGCTAAATTTTCATACTTTAGGGCCTAAAATAGAAAAACTTTTGAAGCTTAGGACCACGGTTGAGGGACCCAATTTGGGGATATAACCGCGTTTGAAACCTTCCGCCACCCACTTTCTTTGCGAAGCCTTAATTAAACTCCCACCTGCAATTTCATGCTCTTGCTATTTTAATACCCCGTATTCCTCACCTCCATTTGTCCACGCAACTACTTTCTGTAGCCATGACTGCCGCCTCTTCTTCTTCCTTCTTCACTCTCCTCGCATTCGTCATTTCCGCTCTCATCTTCTTCCTCTTCCGGAAATCCAAATCCAAAACCCTAAACCTTCCTCCAGGTCCTCCCGGTTGGCCTGTCGTTGGCAACCTCTTCCAGTTCGCTCGTTCTGGGAAACCCTTCTTCCAATACGTCGACGACCTCAGGAAAGAATATGGTCCCATTTTTACTCTTAAAATGGGAACCCGAAACATGATTATACTCAGCGACGCCATGCTCTGCCACGAGGCCTTGATCGAGAGGGGTGCTCTGTTCGCCAGCCGGCCAAGGGAAAACCCAACTCGGAACATCTTCAGCTGTAATAAATTTACGGTAAATGCAGCAGTTTATGGCCCTGTCTGGAGGTCCCTGAGGCGGAACCTGGTGCAGAACATGTTAAGCTCCACGAGGCTTAAGGAATTCCGAACTGTACGGGAGATGGCTATGGATAAACTCATTGCTCGTCTTAGTGCTGAAGCAGAGGCCAACAACGGCGTTGTTTGGGTGCTGAAAAATGCCCGATTTGCGGTGTTCTGTATACTTTTAGCTATGTGTTTTGGAATTGAGATGGATGAAGAGACGGTGGAAAAAATGGATCAGACGATGAAAGCTGTTCTGATTGTTCTCGATCCCAGAATCGATGATTATCTTCCCATTTTGCGTCCATTTTTTTCCAAGCAAAGGAACAGAGCATTGCAGGTTCGTAAGGAACAAGTGGATTACATCGTCCAATTCATCGAAAAGCGTAGGCAAATGATCCGGAACACCGGATCAGATAAAGCGGCTATGTCGTTTTCTTATCTCGACACCCTTTTCGATCTCAAAGTAGAAGGGAGGAAATCGGGGCCATCTAACCCAGAATTGGTGTCACTCTGTTCTGAGTTCCTCAACGGCGGGACCGACACCACCGGAACCGCCATAGAGTGGGGTATTGCGAGGCTGATTGACAACCCAGATGTTCAGTCCAAGCTCTACGAGGAGATTAAATCGACCGTTGGTGATCGGAAAGTGGAGGAACAAGACGTAGAAAAAATGACGTATCTTCAAGCTGTGGTGAAAGAACTTCTCCGGAAGCACCCGCCGACTTTCTTTGTCCTTACTCATGCGGTAACAGAGCCGACAACTCTGGCGGGTTACGACATTCCAACGGATGTTAACCTAGAGATATACTCACCGGCGATCAGTGAGGATCCGAAACTGTGGTCGAATCCGGAAAAGTTCGACCCTGATCGGTTCGTATCGGGCAAGGAAGATGCGGATATAACAGGGGTAAAAGGGGTCAAGATGATGCCATTCGGAGTAGGGCGGAGGATTTGCCCCGGACTGGGAATGGCGACGGTGCATGTTCACCTGATGCTGGCGAGAATGGTGCAGGAATTTGAATGGAAAGCTTATCCACCAAACAGCCCCTTGGATTTCACCGGAAAATTGGAGTTTACTGTGGTGATGAAGAATCCTTTGAGAGCTATGATCAAACAAAGGGCTTAATTAAGACTATCATAAATTAATAGGACATTCTTCTGTGTGGTGATAAAAAAAAATTAGTTTGCAGGCGGATTATGTCTTATTGCAAAATATTATTAGATAATTAAATTCTTCAATTTAATAGTTGATATTTTATAATTTAATACAGTTTAAATTATAAGATGCTCAACTCTTATTTTTTTTAAAAAAATAGGTATCAAAATCATAGTGGGGGCATATAGGTTCGTTTGAAATTGCTCCTGAAGTGTGTGTTTTTGTAAAGGTTTTATGAAAGTCATTTGCCTTGAATCTGTTTGATATATTAATATGGAAAATGAATGAATGGTATATTATCAGCCTAAACATATCTATTAACATTTATCAATTTAGTTATTAAATTCTCTTATTTGAAAATTTTTTTATTTTAAATTTAAATTTAAAAATAACAATTTTTTAATAAATATATTATCAAGAATGTTGAATAAAATAGTGTGTGGATTATTATTTCATTAATATAAACAATAGAAAATAACTTAATCATCTATAAATTTCTTGAAAGAACTATATAAATTTTTAAAAAAAAAAAAAGAGGTGGGGAAATTAAAACCCAATAAAAGAAAAAAAAACAAATAATAAAAAAAAAATAAAACTAATAAAAATAAATATCTTTATTTATCTAATAACTCATATTTTATTGTCTATACAATCCAAACAGTAAAATAAGATTCCCTTTACAAAAATAATCTCTCATAAAACATTCGGCAAATTTCTCCTTCCCCGTCTCTGCTTTTATTGATGTCGTAACTATTAGGGCAAAATTGAACATGTGATGAGGTTATCTTGATAATCATCATCAAGTTGACAGAATTCACAAACTTTTTTGACTTAATAGGGGAGGGTCTTTCTTTCAATTTATTTATGATGATGAGGGACCAGCCCTAGCCATGACAGCTCCAGATTTATAATGGTTTAAATCACCGAAATTTAGTTCAAGATTGGTGTTCATTTTCATCATTTTGTTAAAGTTCTTTACATCCAACCTGACATTTTGTGCCTTGTCATCTTTACCTTTTTGTTTCAGATTGATTCTTAAAGATTTCTAATATGGCATTGGGAAAAAGTTAGGAATAAACAAAAGCCTAGCTGAATAGGGTATCAAATGAAAAGTGCCGAGACAAACACCATTCGTACTTCTAAATCTGCAATTTTGTCGACAAGTTGGCACTCTCAATGCTTATACAAGTAGTTCCTTATGGCGGCGCTATGGGAATGTTCCAACTATTTCTCTAAGTTGAAGATTTCTAATTAAACATTTAGATAATGATCAGAAGGAATTTGGGAATAGAAGAACTCTTTCTTATCATATAATTAAAGGAAAATACAGTTCTAAGCAAAATAAAACACACCCAGAAGTCACACTAGACTGGACTGGACTGTCAATTTGATGTACCATTCCTCAATCCTCATCTCAAGAATAATTCACATAAGTACCCGGAAAAGAGTAGGTAGACAGTCCATTTTATATATACCAGAATTTTGAGATCCACGATGGAGTTGCATTGCATTTATGGAGGACCCAAAAAACAGAAATTCATGTACGATGTGCAAAATAGAACGTGGCTGTTTGTGCATGCAGACAAAAGCAATTACTAGGAGAGAGTAACTACAACCTCAACCTGCAAACTTAAAACTAATTGTAGTTTTACAACTGATCAAAACTGCCAGAAACCAGCCACTAAGGGTTAAAAAGGCGTTTCATTTTTGCAATATTTACAGCAAGTCACAAGGGGAAAGCACTAGGCTCCTTGAGACAGCTCCAGTAGAATTTGAGTTTCAATTTATGTTGGATATGCCAGGTCTTAAGTTCCTGTGATCAGATGCCTCAATGAAGGCTCTTAAATTCCGAGAAGCCAATGTGTTTTAGGTATTTGATGGGCTCTCTACATTCTTGTTTCTTGAGTCTTTTATGGCTTGATTACCTTCTGCTGAGGGGAAAATGTCCCCCTCTGCTTCTGCTCGATCACCCTCAGGAGGAGAATGATTCTCTTGAACAGGGTCCATCCCATGGCTGGGATGGTTTCTTGAGGAAAAGGCATGTCCCCTCAACAAACAATTATTAGAATGTGCATGAAAGGATTCTGTGCTGTAACGAGATCGAGCAGCTGAACTAAACAATGGTTGCATCAAGCACTTTCTCTCAGGAAATTCACGTAGGGATATTCGGCAGACAGGGCAAGTGGAATGCTGTTGCAGCCATATGTCTATGCAGGTCACATGGAAGAAATGCCCACAGTAGGGAAGGATACGCAACGTGTCTTCGTGCTGGTATTCTGAAAGGCAAACAGTGCATCTGCTCACATGACAGTTGACAAACGCATTAGTTTGATGATGAAAAATACAAAAAAAGCAGTATGTAAAAAGAAAATATGGCATACTATTCCCTAAATAACTACCATCACATTTTTATAAGGAGGAATTATGAAGACAACTGCTTCCACAGAGAAATCAGCTTTTATCCCAAGCAGTAAACATCCTTTAAGGAAAATATGGCCATATTCAAACTACCATATTAAACAAAAGTAGTTCATGTTATTGGTACCTTGAGCCTCAATAATAAAGTAGGCAACTAGGCCATTCTCAAAGTAACATCCTATATATGCTTTTTGGTTTTTGGACTGTTTCTTTATCATTTAAAAGATTCCTCCGGGATGTATCATAATAATACTGAAAATGGATAAGTTCAGACAAATCCTGTACCTACACTATGAAAGTATAGGACATGTCTTGTTTCATACTTCATCTAACCATTATAACTCAAGAATCCTCCTGCAAGGATTTCATATGCCCACCTGCAACTCAATGTAAAACATAATTCCACAATGAAAAGACAAGAAAAAAAGATAAAAAGAAAATTTACTAGAGCTTGCAAATACTGGGCATGCATCTAACGCACAAACAAATGTTTATAAGAGAAATCAGAAACAAACCTAACTATCAGCAATTAAATAAGGTTTTGACAACATACTGAGCATCTTCTGTGCCAGAGAAGAACTCATCACTGTGCTTCTTTGTTGGAAAGTTGGCAACAACTATAGGCTCTATACCGTGTGAACCCCGTTCCAGCTGCACACATATAAAAAGCAATATCAGTCAAGTTCACAGACAATTAAGATTTAAAACCAAACCAAAACACTTAGGTAAATAACTTAATTTGAGATGCAAGTAATGTCCCCTTTTTTTCAGTTTTATCTTTTCCTGATCAATCCTAAAAGGTATTGAGCTATAAAATGTAGTTATACTGACACAATCAGAAAGGGTAATCACTTGTTCAATTTCTATGTAGCATCTTGCCTTTGCATCTTTTTAGAAGCTCATATGCACAAGTGAAAATTTTCCAGAACAATTTAAAAAGAACTTAGAACAAATTAGGAAAGTTAATCTTAAGAAACCAGTAACAGCTAGATGTAGTCATTGTAACACTTTTGACCAAACACTGTTGTGGTGACCAGACCAAAGATCCAAACCTAAGTGGTTTAGACATGGTTGAGGTTCAGACGTCATCTTGAAACAAATACTAACCACCTATCAGGTTCATGGTATATTTGATTATGGGGCACTTTAGACATGGCAATCCTTAAAACACTACATACCATATACAAATCAAATTCCTAATTTCTGTGCACCAACAAAATCATTCGCCTCATTTCAAATCCTCCATGCGTACAAACGATCAGATTACGGCTAAATGGAAATAACAGATACCTAACCCAGTTCAAAAAATCCCAAAAAAAAAAAAGAAAAAAAAAAGAAGAAGAGAGAATGAAAAGGAAAAAACTTACCATATTGAGATCAGATCTAGAAGCAACAAGAAAAGATCTTCGAGAAGCATTGTGTTGAATCCGAGCACAAACCAGCCTCGTGCACACAAACACCATGAACATAGTGCTAACAGCAAATCCTATCACGGTCATCACCAAATTGATCCCCAAAGATACCATCTTTTTGACACCACTCTTATCCTATCCTCAAAAGAAGAGGAAGAAGAAAACGCAGAGAGAGAGAGAGAGAGAAAAAAAAAAGAATCTCAACTTCTAATGCTCATCGTGAACACTACAACAATGTTCTGCAACAACCCATTTTCGTTTTCCTCTTGACCGTCAGTAATTAGTGAAAGAATTGAGTTTCTTTAGTGCCGTCTAGAGCTCCGGCGACTGTTTCATTATAGGAGGGGGAAAAAGAATCCATGAGAGGGGAACTGGGATTTAGACAGAGAGAGATTTTTGGAGAGATTATAGATCTATGCATCTACCTACTCGCTATAATTTGACCAAAATAGAAACTGATAGACAGAGATTAAGTTGCTGTTTTTACTTTGAATCTTCGTCTTTTTCTTTTGTTAATTATTATTTTTATTATTATTTAAATAATTAATTTTTTTAATTTATATAAGATTTATAATATTAAATAAATATATTTATTTAATAATATAAAAAAATTATATAAAAAATTACTTATAGCAACACCCATTTTATTTAATATTTATGCTTAGTTTTGTGACTTTCCGATTCAGAAAAATCTTGTCTTTTTTAAAGCGAAATATTGTAGTAAATAATATCAGAACGGTTTAGAGCTGAATTTTCCGACACTTTCTCGGGAATCCTGCTTTTCGCTGTTTCAATGATTTTTGATGCTTTGATTTTTTGTTTTTTAAGACCAAAAGCCCCAATGTACGAAAATTAATTAAAAAAGAGATAAAGGAAAAGTTTTGTTTCAAGTTCTGGTCAAAAAATTTAAAAAAAAAAAGTTTTTTTTTTTATAATGGTAATAATTAAGAAGTTAATAAATTAATTGTTAGCAGTTGGTTCTTAGATTGAGTGAATATTTCACCCTCTCAAATGAGACGCGTAGTCATCAAGCCACTTTTTGATAGAGTTTACGATGGTGGTAGAGCTCGAAACTCCGATCATCTCACCCAAACACTTAAAGTTTGGGTGAAACCATTTGGCCACAAGTCCAGACTAAAAGAGAAAAAAAAAGAAGTTTTGAATATTAGTACTATTACTGGCCGTAGCAATAGCACTCCGGTAATGGAGTGGTTTTTTTTTACATTTGATAATAAAATGAAATAATTTTAATTTTTGTATTTAATTTAAAACTTAAATTAAAATTTTTTAATTTTAATTTTTAAAATTTTAACCATTTGGT